AAGAGGGGGGTGAATTAGGTACTTTTAAAATTTTCTGGTTTTAGTGATGATGGATATTATTTTCTGGTTTATGGTGAGTTTATGAAAGAGTAAAATGCAAAAAAATAAAGAGACACAGGCGATATATCCTGGTTCCTCTCACAGTCCGAGAGTACTCCAGTCCCCTTTCAACATGAAAGAGATTTCCTTATTGTGGCAAACTTAAACAAGAACTACTCAAAACCAATAACAATCCTCTTGGACCAAGAACAATCCTCTTAGATTTTCACTATGTCAACAATGAGAACAATCCTCTCAAAGTGACTTTACTTGTATCCAACAATCCTGGAAAAACAAGATTTATAAAACCACTTAAACTTATTTCCAACAATCCTAAAAAAATAAGCAAGTATATATCAATATTTGATTTGAGTGAGTTTGAGTAGAAATGATCACTTTGAGTGATTTAATAAATGAATTGATCTTCTCTTCCAATGATAATAGTATACAATGACTCAAGATATATAATGCTCAAAGTTTTCTGGTTAACAGTATGTGAAAGTATGCAGAAAACTTGTGTATGAAAATGTATAACAGCTTGAGTTTGATTTTTGAAAATTCAGAAAATATAATTGGAAGAGGTGTTGAAATGATTTTGAAAATGAGTATTTATATGTTAATATCACCCTTTTGAAACAACATCAAGTTCTGTAAATGAATCATGAACAATTGCCAAGATTGAGTGAAAGGTTTCCATGAAATGCTGTTATGAACAGGCATGTGTAAAGCTGCTATTTTTCAAAATCGTGCAGCATGCAATCGATTGCACCCTTTGTGTAAATCGATTGTGCGGGGTTTCAATAGCTATAAATTCAAATATTTTGAGTGTGAAATCGCTTGCACAAGAGTGTAAATCGGTTGCATTTGAAGTCATTAACAAAAATTGATTGAGTGCAATCGATTGCACTTACAAAAAGTAGTAAATGTTTTGAAAAATTGAAGCATGCAATCGATTGCACTAATATGCAAATCGATTGCACTTAAGTGAAAAATGATTTTTAGCTTAGAAAAAACTTGAGTAGGGATTTGGACAGTATAAAATGTTTCTTTTGACCATTGAGAATCTATGTCTTAAGTTCAAAGTAAGTATTATCATCATACCTTGAAATTTTGCTAAGAGCTTGAACCAAAGACTTTATCCACATATGCTTTTAGCTTGATCAATAATCTTTGCCTTATTTGTCAATCATGGTTTGTCTTCATCAAAATAAAAGTGCATTTGAGAAGCTTGATTTTACAAAATTTATTATAAAGAATTTGAAAATGAGATTTATGCTTTAATAAAGGAGAAGGAATTTTATTGATTAAGTGAACTGAGTGTTGTACAGAAAAGTTCCAAAAATATTTTAGGAGATTTACTTGAAAAGAAAGAGCACGAGCAAAATTTAAAATATGTTGGTGCTTTCGTTCAACCAAACCATTCTGTTGGGGGGATTCGACATAAGAACATTGATGTAGAATTCCCTTGGTGTTGAAAAAAAATCAGTTGTAAGGAATTCATTTCCATTATCAGTACGAAGACATTTTAAAGAAGTATCAAATTGATTTTCAATAAAAGAGGTAAAAGTGGAAATGTGTTGTCTGGAATAACTTTTTTGTTTCATAAGAATGATCCATGTATAACAACTAAAATCATCTACAAGAGTTAAAAAATAATGATGTCCATTAATGGAAGGGATAACATAAGGCCCTCATATGTCAGCATGAACAAGTTCAAAATATTAGAAGAAGAGGTATTACTAACAGGAAAAGGTATACGTTTTTGTTTGGTGAAATGGAAAGCGTCACAAGGACCACGTTTATTAAAGGGAATATAGGGAAATTGGGAAGCAATGCATTTATACACAGAATCAGAAACATGACCTAGTCTATGATGTCACAAAGAGGCATTGCTATCTATAATGGAATTACCATGCGAAGCATAAGAATGTAGAATGTTACAGGATGAAGGCGAAGCATAGTAGACATAGAGGTTGCCCATTATCTTAGCTATACCAATCGTTTTCTGGGACAAACTTTGCAAAACTAAGCACTTGTCAGCAAAAAAATTCAGATAGCAATTAGTAGAATACGTTAGTTGGGAAACAAAGATAAGATTAACGGTAAAGGAGAGAATGTAATAGACATTCATGAGAGTGATATTGTTTGAAAGTGTAATATTTACAGAGATTGTGGCATCAGTGTTTTAACCATTGGAAACTTTCATAATAAAAGGAGCAATTTGAGTATATGATGAAAAATGAGATAGTAAGTAAGTGACATGGTGCGTAACACCAGTGTCAAGAATCCAAGGTGTCATATCTTTACCCATTGGAGAAGAGATAGTATGCACATTACCATTAGAGAAAGTAATAGAGTTGAAATCAGATTCCACAGGGATTTATTGCTGGATAGTGGTTTGGTTCAGATGTTGTTGTAGTAGAGAGATAAGTTGGCCATATTAGTCTTCAATTGTGGGCGTTGAAGTAGGATTTACAGAGGTATCTGCAGAAGTGGAATTGATAGAAAACACCTTTGAACGGTTCTGAAAACCGGGAGGGTATCCATGCTTTACAAAGCAATAATCAACTGTGTGATTATTACAACTGCAATGAGTACAAACACAATGATTACCTGAAGAATTTCTGTGTTCACCAGCAGAATTGTTTCTTCCTCCACATCGAAAAGAATAACCACGTCCATGACCATTGTGTTGAGGTTGAACTTGAGAAGCAAGGGTGAGAGTTTCCAAGAGAGGATCAGAATTGAGAGGAGTTGTTAGTTACTTTTCTTGACCAAGAACGAGCGAGAAGGTTTTCTCCAAGGTGGGAAGAGGATCCATCAGCATGATTTGAGAGCGGACATGTGAGAATTAGTCGTTGAGGCCTTTGAAGAACTTGAGAACTTTGTCTTGATCACGAAATTTCCGGAGGTCAGCAACAGCTCCACACATACAAGGGATGGCGCACGTACAGTCTCTAGTGGGACGATAGGTGTCGATTTGCTCCCAAAGCAACGTCAGTTGTGTGAAATAGTTGGAGATTTCGAGAGACCCTTGTTGGAGACGAAGAAGATCGTCTTGAAGATCAGAGATACGAAATATGTCACCCTCGACAAATCGATTGCAAAGATGTTCCCAAACTACTGCAGCATTGTCAAATCAGAGGATAAATTGAGCTATGGATTCTAAAACTGATCTTTGAATCCAAGATAGGGTGGGATTGTTACATCGGATCCAAGGATCAAAAAGAGGGTGATTGGCTGAGGGTTTAGGGAAGGTTCCATTGGTGAAGTGGAGTTTATTCTTTGAAATCAAAACAACTCCATAGATCTTGCCCGGGAGAGATAGTTCTTGCTATCAAGCGGTGGGGTAATGAGGACGAGGATAGGATTTTCATTCGGGTGAATATAGTAGGGATTCGATGGATTCGTGGCAAAATCAAGATAGGGTTGTGCCGCCATTGAAGGGAAGAAGAAAAAATTGGGAGAAATTAGGGTTTGCAGAGAGAGACAGAAAGGGGGAAGAAAATTTGGGAACGATAGTGAGAAAGAAAGAGAAAAAAGGAAGAAGAAGAAGGAAGAAAGAGAGAAAAGAAAGTGTGAGTATAAGAAAAGATCAAGAAATCAAGAAGGGCAATAGAGAAACGATAAGTGGCGCAAAAGGGAAGAGAAAGATAACGTATTTCAAAGGGAAAAAGGAAATGTGGAAGGAGATAAAGTTTCTTCTGATACCATATTAGTGTAATACACAAAGAAACAAAGAGGATAATCTCATATTATTATTTATTAACCAAAAGTACAAAGAGGATATTTTTATATAAGATTAAATAAGTTTTTGGTCCCTCTAAATATCTCAAACTTCGTTTTTAGTCTCTCTAAAATTTTCCTTCAAAGAATGGTCCTCCTAAAAAATTAAATTTTAACTTTTGGTCTCTCTAAAATTTTTGAATAATTTTTTTCATATATGTTCATAATACTATAAAATATTTTTTTTATCAAATTTTAAAATTTTTTAAAATAAGATGAATTAAATATGAATTTTTAAATTTCAAAAGATATCGATGTCTAATTAAAAATTAAATTTTGATTTTTTTTAAAACACTTTTTATAAATTTCTAAACATATCTTTAAAATAATAATTCAAAAATATAAATCAATTTAATAGTAAAGACTAAAACTACCTACATAATAATTTTATAACGATTAAAACATATTATATTTGTTTTATAGAAACTAAAAATAAAATTTAATAACTTAATGGAAAAAAATATATATTTATGGATAACTAAAGTTGCAACATATTACTCAACCTTTTTTCAATATAGTAACCATTAAAGGAATCATAATTAAAATCATATTAATTATCATTTTTATTATAATTCAACAACACTCTTGTCTTTCTAATTTCTTCCTTTGTTCACACCACTACTGTTCTTCAAAAGTCTATTGACTTATTTCTAACCCACTTGCAATTTTCAACTCTCACCCCACTCACCTTTTGAATCCTTCTCTTTTATATATTTCTGAAAACCCCTCCTCCTCTTCTTCCATGATCACAAGGTTTCTCCAATAAAAAATCATTCTTTACCTTCAAATAGCTGGATAGTAGCAGCACTGTCATCAGTTACCAATTTTGTCACTTGTCAGCTCCACACAGGTCTTTACCTTCTTAGTTGCATCTTTGTTCATTGACTTAATTTAATTCAGTTTAATTTGGATTAACTTATTTGAGTTTTTCTATTTGTGACACTGTTTATTACATGTTCGTAAGCTGTTTTTCAACATGTTTTCATTAGTTATTCATGATAGAATATGAAAATAACTTATAGCTTATATGAAGAAAAAAAAATTGATTTTGTTGTATATTTTGTTATAGAACTAGCTTATACATAAATTTTTGATTAAGTTGTTATCTTTGTTTATTAGGTAGAAGTTGAATATTTTTGTTAATTTCGACAGTATTGCCGAATTGTGAACACAACATGGCTGAGTTTGGGACAGATGAAGTGCCAATGCTGTCCGAAACTAATCCGAAACAATCAAATGAACACGATGATTTCAAATTCAAGACTCGTGTATCTAGAACGCGAAGTGTATCGATTTCCATTCCCATGGTTCCTATTGACTCATACGAAACAGATACTAATCTCAAGAGACACACCGGTCCTCTAAGGAGTAAAAGAAAAACACAATATAATCCAATGAGTGGTCCGTTATATGTTACTGATAAATCTGGAAATGTTTTTAGGCAGAATATGACCGTGCCGATGAGCAACGCTGTGGAAAGTAAGACAGAAAAGTTTCCTTTAAGTGGCCAGAATGAACGCGATTCGCAGTATCACTATGCTAATAAAAATGAACATTTAGTAAGATCTGGTCAATTGGGAATGTGTAATGATCCATACTGTACTACCTGTCCGGCTTACTTCAAGGCTACTCAACCAAGGGATTCGAAAAATTCGGGTTTGTTCAATCCTAAGGTATCATTCTTCTTATTTCAGTTTCGGTCCTTATATATATATTGCTTCATTCACGATTCGGGTTTGTTCAAGTTTGAATATTTTCAGTTTCAGAATGTTCTCTATGGAGATGCCAAGGATTGGGCAAGAAGAATTTCCAATTTCTTGATTCCTAATGTACCTAGAGTTATGAATCCGCATAATAAACTAGTACAGCAATGGAATAAATTTTTTGCAATTTGTTGCTTGGTGGCAATTTTTGTCGATCCGTTATTTTTCTTCTTGCTCTATGTGAATAAGGTATGTTTTTTCCTCTTTGTGTAGATTCAAATATTGCAAAATACAATAGTTACTATGTGTTCTTGCAATTTGACTCAAATTATTCTGGCTTTTGCAAGCAGGTACAAAAATGTATTGTTATTAACTCTACAATGACAACAGTGCTTGTTATACTTAGAAGTACGAATGACTTCATACATTTCCTAAATATTATTCTTCAGGTAACTTTTAAGAGTTTTTAGAAGGTTGATTTTTTTCATTATATTTGTACATCTATTTTTCATGTATTCACTTGTCCAGTTTTCATTGTTCTATGAAGCATGGACACCTCTAGGATTAGACGTGTCACAGTGTCTCTGACACCAATGCGTTATTCTTCTATGATGAAGCAGGGCTCTACTTATTCTTCTAAGTTCATTTTTTGCAGTTTAGGTTGGCTTATGTGGCCCCTGAGTCTAGGGTGGTTGGTGCTGGAGAGTTAGTTGACCATCCTAAGAAAATAGCTCTTCACTATCTTCACACATATTTTCTTTTTGATTTGTTTGTTGTACTTCCACTTCCTCAGGTAACCCCCTCTCCCTTTATTTCCTATTCACTATCTCATTAAGCTTTATTTGGATAAACAACTTAATGAAGTGCTTATAATAGAAGTGTTTTCAAAAGCCATTCTGAAGAGCTTATGGAAATAAGATGAAAACAACTTATAAACATGTTGTAAGCTGTTTCCATAAATTCTCCCAAACAGTCTCACAAGTGATTCAAACACGCAGTCTAATGTGAATTTCTTGATGCTCAAGTATACAATCTACAATAAAGTAATGTAAATTGTCTAGTTTTATTTGTGATCACTAAATTGAAGAACAATGTATATTACAACCGAATTCATATTCTCCATATAAGTCAAACATGAAGTACCTTATCCTTTAAAGTTAGCCATATCATGGCAAACACCGTATCGTGGTATAATATGCAGTGATATATTTGCAGATAATGATATTGTTTGTCTTACCAAAACACTTGGGAACATCAGGAGCAAATTATGCAAAGAATCTTTTGCGTGCGGTCATCCTTGCTCAGTATATTCCCAGATTGTGTAGGTTCCTCCCTATGCTAATTTCTCCAACCGGATTCATATTCGAGTCAGCATGGGCGAGTTTCTTCATAAATCTTTTTACCTTCATGCTATCTGGTCATGTTGTTGGGTCATGGTGGTACCTCTTCGGTTTGCAGGTAGGTTAGGCTTCTGTCATCTCTTTTTTCAGTGACTATCATTTGTGTTTAATGATTATGTACTTCACGAATCATCTTCAACATTATTTCTCTTTCTTGTCCTAGAGGGTTAATCAATGTCTACGAAATGCCTGCAAGAATACATATTTTGATGCATGCTCAAAATTCATTGATTGTGGACATGGAAGCACTGAGGAACATCTGAATGAAACAAATTGGACTCAGTGGAAGAAAAATGATAATGCAAGTGCTTGTTTTACAGAAGATGGTTTTGAGTATGGAATCTATCTTAAAGCTGTCAACCTGACTACAAAACATAATGTGATCACAAGATATGTATATTCATCATTTTGGGGATTCCAAGTATGTCTTTAATTTCTTTTCCAATATAACTATCTTAATCACTTTTGTACTCATTATACTTTGTTTATGTTTGTCACTCGAGTCTGATTTTGGCTGAACCACTCTTTTGGTCAGATCCGATTTTGATGATTTTTTTTCTTTCAATAAACCTGAAGTGAAATCATTTAGAGCCTGAAACTCCAACACGATTCTGATTAACCTAGAACACAAAATTGAAATAATTGTCATAAAATGAAACTTTACTAATGCTATAACTGGGTGATTTTGAGCAGCAAATTAGTACTCTAGCTGGAAATTTGACGCCAAGCTATTTTATTTGGGAAGTCCTTTTCACAATGGGAATCATTGGATTAGGACTCTTGCTCTTTGCTCTTCTCATTGGAAACATACAGAACTTTCTTCAGGAGCTTGGAAGAAGGTAGAATGTTTTAATTTTGTTTCATATACGCAATGCCTCTTAAATTTCATCTAACGCTGCTAGTTAATATTTAACTTTTAATGATCAAGTTTGTAGTTATTTATGGTTAATAAATTTGCCACTTTTTATAAATGATATTGTTTAGTATTTTAGTCCTAAATAACATGTTTGATTTATATTTCGTTTTCTTAAAACTCTCTTCAAGGAGGCTAGAAATGTCACTTAGACAACGTGATGTCGAACAATGGATGAGCCATAGGCGCTTAGGAGAAGATCTGAGAAGGTATCGTTTTCTTTTTCCTTATTTTAGTAGCTACACCAGTGTGGAATATGATCAAAGAAACATAAAGTGTTACGGACATGTCATAAGCTGCTTTCATAAACTCAATTCAGACAGACTCTAAGTTGAGGATATAGAGTATTAAAAAGATTGTTGTCCTCTGATATATTTGGTTTGTGATGCAGGAGAGTGCGACAAGCTGAACGTTATAATTGGGCTGCGACTAGAGGAGTGAATGAAGAAATACTCATGGAGAATTTGCCAGAAGATCTTCAGAGGGACATCAGACGCCACCTTTTTAAATTTGTTAAGAAAGTAAGTGTATTTATATTTTTGGCGATCAAGGATCACCTTAGAAGTAAGAGTTTTTACTATTGTAATCTTAAGGGACAAAGTTCATGTTGCATCAACTTGTCGTCTCTATACCTTTTAGGTTCGAATTTTCTCCTTGATGGATGATCGTATCTTGGATGCCATTTGTGAGAGACTGAGACAAAAAATATATATCAAAGGAAGCAAAGTTTTGTACGATGGTGGCTTAGTAGAGAAGGTGGTTTTTATCGTGCGGGGAAAATTGGAGAGTATAGGCGAAGATGGAATTAGAGTTCCACTATCTGAAGGCAATGTTTGCGGTGAAGAACTTCTTACATGGTGTCTCGAGCATACTTCAGGAAACAAAGGTTAGATTTTATTTCTTTTTATTTTCTGATGTACATAGAAGTTGTCTTTTTTATACTTCCTCGGTCTCATTTTATATGTTTGATTGCAGTTTATGGAACAACAAGAATTCCAAGACAAAGGTTGATTAGCAATAGGACAGTATTATGCCTAACAAATGTGGAAGCATTTTCCATTAGAGCAGCAGACCTTGAAGAAGTTACAAAACTTTTTGCAAGATTCTTGAGGAGTCCAGGTGTTCAAGGAGCTATAAGGTATTCTCCCAATAGACTAATCACTGTCGCCGGGGAGTCTTAATTTAAACAAATTTGAGTGTTCACTGCTCGCATTACTTATCTTGGTTCACGACTATCTTTGTTCTCAAACTATTTATATCTGACATAACATGTATAATTTATCTTAGGTATGAATCGCCGTATTGGAGATGTCTTGCAGCAACACGAATCCAGGTTGCATGGAGATACAGAAAGAAACGTCTTTATCGTGCTGACACTTCACAATCAAAATGTTGATATCAAATTCAGTGTCTTTTGTTTTTTTATGTGTATTTTTGAATTGAATTTTACCTGAGTTCTTAGTTTTTGTTTACACCCAAACACTACAACTATTCCTACTAACAAAGTTCAAGGACTAAGTTTAGGTGACATCTAGGGTTGGAAAGCGTCTCATATGGTCTATGGTGGATCAATGCCTGAGAATAGTTTTGAACTGTAACAATAATTGGTGTCACTCCTCGTAAGTAAAAGCAATGTTGTCAAATATCGGTGCCATGGCCAATTGCAGTGGTGGATCTTTTGACAACTGCCATCGATAATTTGTGAAGGATAGATGTGCCGTGGTGTCTTATGGCGGATATGACGGTTCAAAATGGCAGGTTTTTGAATTTATATTCTGGTCTATCATCCGCAATCAATAACATTGAGTAGAAGTTCATATAATAAAACTCAAACTGTGTTTGTTTTCTCTTGTTTTTTGTCGAATTAACATCAATTGCCTCAACTTTAATGACATGAAGGACCCTTAAGTTTTCCTTAAAGTGGCGATGTTGGCCGTTGTCGAAACTTTAGACTATTCTCTTATGAAGCACGAACACCGAAAACACAACACCGACACTAACAGTCATCACCGATAATAATTTAAAAAAAGAATAAATTAAACATAATCATAAATGTTAGTGCCACCAACACCGACTCATACACATCTTTTTTCCGAGATGTAAGTGCTTCAAAGCTATTATTAATTAATCGTTGGTTCACACAAAATCAGATGGGAGACTTCTCCACCCTAACAAACCCTAATTTTAATGACAATTTTCAATTTTAGGAAAGACATTTTCATTTCACCTAAATTTACATAACTAAATTCTTACAATTTCAAAGATAAAAGTAATGATTAAGACAAAGCTTGCGACAAATTGAACTAACCTGAACGAGAGCAAAAAAAGACTTATAGGGTTTGAAAACATGATCATCCTTTTCCCATTACTTTGAAACCAATATCTGCAGCTTTAGATTCCTTCTCCTCCGTGGGTAAGAAACATAGTTAACTACTTCAGCAATGGTTAAAGAGTTGTTAACGTTATATTTATTAGTTAATTAGACTATTAACTCATTGTTATCTTTTTTAATATTATCTTTTTTCTTAATGAGTATTGACTTATATAACTCTTGTATCAAATAAGTGTTTTGACCGTTATGGTAGTTAGTTTGTTATTATTTGACGGTTACTTGCACTTTAAGTCACATCTTGTATATAAGCATCATATCAATGCAAATAGAGTTAACCTCATTGTTTCAGTTTACAATCTTTCACAATTTTTATTATGGTATCAGGGCTAGGCTTTCTCTTCAATCTTGCAACAAAAACGACAGTTAACTATCCCTTCTCCTTTTAAAAATTCCAAAATTCTCCTGACTCAGACATAAAATTGTTCACATAATGCATGATTTCAGCCTAATAAAGGCAAATTCCGTGGCAAACCAAACTTCCAAGGAAGAGGTTTAAACAATTCTAAAGTCTGTTCATTTTGTGGAAAGAATGAACACATTCTTGATACATGTTATTTCAAACATAGTTTTTCATCGGATTTTAGGTTCATAGATAAGGTAGGTTTTTCCAATAATGTTGATACCTCGAATGTGTTGAAAATCCATCAAAATCTATGATGAATTTCTATCAATCTTTATGAACAAAATTATTATCACTCACACAATAACGATGAAACAAAAGGAAAATTTAAAAGAGAAAAGGATTAGGATTTCTGCAGAGTTTCTCTCTGCCCACAAACTGTAAAAAAAACTTTTATTCACTTGCAACTGCAAATACTGTGAATGAATGAACAAAATACAAAAATAGAGGTTACTCTCTCTATTTATAATTGAGCTTGCTTGCTCCCTAAGGCAAAGTCCAAAACTATAAAAGCCCAAAATAACTATTTTAGACCTAAATCAAATATGTGTTAAGCAACTGCTTTGATTCAACTCGACACACTTACACAAGACTAAGTTTCGACACATTGTCTCGAGCAACATGCTGATTCGACACAAGGAATTACACATTTAACACACCACCTAATTCATTGTATCTAAGCTATCTATATTCATCATAGCTCTTAGTCTTTTGAATATTTCGACATGCACACCCTTCGCCATGATATCTGCAATCTGATTCTCAGTTTTGCAGTGTTCCAAGTTCATCTTTTCTTCTACTACCTGCTCCAGAAGATAGTGAAACCTCATTTCAATGTGCTTGTTTCGACCAAGTGCTATCGAATTCTTCACCAGATTGATAGCTGACATATTGTCGATCTTCATGGTAATTGCTCCATGATCTTTAGCAGAAATCTCTTCGACCAAGTTCAACATTCATGTTGCTTGACATGCATAAAGAGAAACAGTTGTGTACTCTCCTTCACACGTTGATAATGCCACTACTGGTTCTTTTCTCGAACTCCAGGCAACTGGTGCACCACCTAGCATGAACACCTATCGTGCTGTGAATTTTTTATCCTCAGCATCACTACACCAACTTTAATCAGTGTATCCAACTAACTTGCATTATTTTCCCTTATCAGCTGCAGGAAACAAAATGCTATAGTCAAGAGTTCCTTTCAGATACCTCAGCATCCTCTTCGTCACTGCTAGATGCGATACCTTTGGCTTCTGCATGAATCTACTTACCATACCTACACTGTATGCTAAGTTAGATCTTGTATGACAAAGATATCTCAATGATCCAATAAGTCTTATGTATTGGGTTGGGTTGAAATTATCTTTTTTTGGATCTTTTAACAGTTGCACTCTTGGTTCTGCAGGTGTCAAAGTCGAGTTGCATTCTTCCATCTCAAATCTCTTGAGAATTTCACTTTCATATCTTCTTTGATGCATCATGAAACCTCTTATGCTTTTATGGAATTCGATTCTAAGGAAATATGAAATGTCACCCAGATCAAACATTTCAAATTCCTTGCTGAGATCACCTTTAAAGTCTTCGATCTCACTTTTGCAGCTACTTGTTATCAACAAATCATCAACATAGGGACATAGTATAAGCAATTCAATATTTCTTCTTCTTACATATACTATATATTCAGTTGTGCACTTCACAAATTCCTCCTCCCTTAGAAAGTTATCTATCTTCTTATTCCAAGCTCTTGGAGCTTGCTTCAATCCATACAGGGCTTTATGCAGCATGTACACCTTTTTCTCTTCGCCATGCTTCACAAATTAACTTGTTGTGTAACATAGACTTCTTCATCTAAAGATCCATTCAGGAATGCACACTTCACGTCCATCTGACATATGTGCCAACTGTTCATTTATACTAGACCAACAACCAACCTGATTGTTTCGATCCTAGCCACAAGTGCAAATACTTCAGTGAAGTCAATTCCTTCCTTCTGAATAAATCCTTTCGCCACAAGTCTTGCCTTGTGTCGAGTTACTTTCACTTTGGAATTCAACTTCACCTTGTATACCCACTTCACATCGATTGTCTTCTTGCCTTGAGGCAATTCGAGAAGTGACCAGGTGTTGTTGTCTTCGATAAATTTCACTTATTCACTCATTGCTTTCACCCACTTTGAATCCTTCAATGCTTCAGTTGCATTAACTAGTTCGACATCTGCATAGAAAGTATAATGTACCAATTCACCTTCATCATTAACTACATCATCTGATGTAACCACACAATCTTGCTACCTTGCAGGCACGTGTCTTGTTCTTTGAGGTCTTCTTGTACTTGGTTGATCTATAACTTCCTCTTGTTGAACTTCTCTTTCAACTTGAGTTTATGGTTCTTCAAGTAAGATTCTCACTGAATCCTTCTTGACATTTTAGTTCAATCTCATTCCTTAAGCTCATCTATGATCATGTCTCTACTGATCACAATCTGCTTGTTCACTGGGTCGAACAACTTATAACCACCTGTCAAATGATATCTAACTAGGATCATCTGACTTGACTTGTCATCAAGTTTTCTTCTCAATTGATCTGACACATGTATATGTTATATATATATCAAAACACTTTCAGATGACTCAATCTAGGTTTAACACCAGACCAACATTCTTCTAGAGTAATTCCTTCTAGCTTCTTCGTCCGACATCTTTTCAAAATATAAGTTGTTGTCGACTCAACTTCTCCCCACAATTTGTTGGGTAAATGCTTTTCATTCAACATACTTCTCACCATATTCATGATGGTTCAATTCTTCCTTTCTACAGTTCCATTATACTGTAGAGTGTAGGGTGGCACCACCTTATACACAATCCCTTCTATTTCACACAATGCATCGAAGTCTTTCGACACATACTCTCCACCACCATCAGTTCTCAAAACTTTGAGATTTTGACCACTTTTCCTTTCGACCATAGATTTACACTTGGAAAATACCTCGATCACTTCACTTTTCTTCTTGATCAAATAATCCCACAGTTTTTGATTGAAATCATCATCTATAAATATGAAAAGTATCTGTTACATCCCATTGAATCCATCTGGATTGCTCCACATACATCAGAGTATATAACTTCGAGGATTGCCTTCGACTTGCTTTCTGCATCCTTGCTGAAGTTGTTCTTGTGCTGCTTCGACTGCACACATTCCTCAAACACGTAGTTTGGAATGTCGATTTCTAGTAATCCTGAAACCATATTTCTTCTCTTCAAATCTTTGATGTCTTTGAAGTTGAGATGGCCAATTCGATAATACCATATCCACTCATCTCTGCTAGCTACAATTGCAAGGCATTTGTGCTCCATCACATCAAGTTTAATCTTGAAGGTTATATTATGAGACATTGGAGCCTTCAAGATTAACCTTCCTCTTGCATCGACGACTATCATTATCTTGTCTTCTATAGACACATGGTAGCTCTTTTCTACCAACTACACTATACTGAGCAAATTGCTCTTCATGCCTGATATGTACAACACATTGGAAATTACTGACCTCTTGCCATCTTTCCTCATAATCATAACATCACCAATACCTTCAGCTGCTAGAGTATTTTC